TGGCTCCATACTACAATTATTTCAAATATTTGAAGTTCGAAGTGGATACTACGGTCTAAGACAGAAAATTGTCTATGCAGGTCCACGTTTTAGCATATAACGGTATGCTATTTTGGTATTTTGATCATTTTAGCGACACAATTTACCGGAATTTTTTCAAATTTGGTATTTAAAGTTCGTAATGGTTACTACAGCCTAAGACAGAAAATTGTCTGCATAGGTCCACGTCTTGTCTGTGCAGCTCCACATTTTATCATAGCCCCCCTATAATAGTACCTCCATATATTGCTGATTTTAGCTACATTATTCACCGATTTTTTGAATATTTTAATGACTTATGACAAATATGATGGCTACATTTGAAATTAATTTTGCCAAATTCGTTCTAAAATGTGGAGGGTATTTAAAGTTTGGCCCGGCCATAGTTGTTAACCATGGCATAATTACAGAAGGTAGAACAAAGCTATCCCTCCAAATACATTTTTTTTCTTTTTGTGCCTTATTCTGTGAAAACATATACCCATTCTGTGTATGCGTTATTTATAAGACAGGTTGCTAAACTTCAAAGAAACTAGAAATACTCAACTCTGTGCTGGAGTCTTATAGTGTCAAATAGATTTTTAAACATGTAACAGTTGGTTTTGTTTATTTTTCATGTTTTCATGTGCAGAAACCGCTAAAAGATTAAATTTTGGGGTTGTTACGAAAGATTAAATATAAAATAGTAAGACAATACAATTTAACCCAAAACTTTTCAAAAGTATGCATTTTTTTGCAACCGAATTAGAGATTATTTCAAATTATTGTATTGTTACGTTCTTGGATTTTACTTAATCCCGTGTAGACGTTGTTTTATTTCCCAATACAGCTCGTACCAAATAAAACGCGGGTTCTTTCGGATTACGATTATTACAATGATTTTATTCACACAACTTTACTTTGCACTTTACTTTACTCGACGGTTTCAATTCGCGATCTGATTCACAACTGACTAACTGCCTTTCCATTTCCCCTATTTATATGAGCCTCGCCTGTCGCTACAGAAGTTTCTAGACGATCTGGTAACGCCTAGATTATGAACAATCTACCAATGCAACGAACACATACAAACTTACATTGAGGGAACAATAACAGCAACACATACAAACTTACATTGAGTGAACAATAACAACAACACATACACAGGCGAGGGGGTAACAAAGAAAGAGGAATTAAGCGATCATCAATGATGACGTTTAACAAGAATTGTACGTCAGCAACAAAATAGAAAATGAAAGAGGAAATGGAAGGATGTAGAAAAATCTATACAGTAGTTGTTGTTGTGAAGTTATTCAAATAAACTGCGTAGTAGAAATTTACGTTACAATTCAAATTCTTAAATTAACGGAATTCATCTAAATTAACTTAAATCTAAAGTTATATTCGTAACATTGCCCCCCGCTTAAGCCTGTTCGTCCCGAATAGGCACAGTTCCCGTTCCGTAGGGGGTCAGCCGCTCCAAATGTACAACTTTCATCTTCGACCTGGGACTGTCGCTCCTCTGGATGCGATAAACGACGTCATTTATTTTCGTGACAATCTTGTAGGGTCCTTCCCAGTGCGTTTGTAATTTGGGGCATAGTCCTTTCTTTCGTTGTGGGTTGAACAATAGTACCAGTTGCCCTTCTTGAAACCCATCGGTATTTGCCGCTCGATCGTACCTTGCCTTCATGAGGTTGCTAACCATTTTTATTCGATGTCGGACTGCATCGTGGACTTTACTAAAAGAGTTTTGACTGTCTTCATCGTCGTTTGGGGTAGCGCCGAATATCAAATCGCCAGGTAGCTTTAATTCATTTCCGAACAGAACTTTGGCTGGAGTCCGGGATGTGGAATCATGAATGGCCGATCTATAAGCCAGTAAAAACTTGGGAATATGCTCATCCCAGTCTCGTTGGCCACTGTCCACCACTTTCCGTAGATGTTCTTCCAGGGTGCGATTGAATCTTTCCACCATGCCATCTGATTGTGGATGTAGGGGCGTCGTTCTGGTTTTCTTGATTCCGTAGGAGTCACACATTTCCTTGAAGATCGCTGATTCAAAATTCCTCCCTTGATCGGAATGAACCTCAGATGGAACACCATAGCGACAAATCCAATTTCTGCTGAACACATCCACAATTGTCCTGGCTTCTTGATTTGGGATAGCATAAACCTCTGGCCATTTACTAAAGTAATCCATGACCACTAAGACATACCGGTTCCCAGAGTCTCTTGTTGGGAACGGTCCAGCTACATCCATTGCGATTCTTTCAAAAGGGGCTCCTGAATTATACTGCTGCATGTAGCCTCGACTCTTCCGTGTTGGACCTTTAGCTCTTATGCACCTTTCACAATTGGCGATCCAGTCGGCAATGGATTTTTGACAGCCGACCCAGTAGAATCTCTGCTTTACCTTTTCAGCGGTTTTTGCTATGCCAAGATGTCCTCCACTTGGCCCATCGTGAAACTCCGACAAGACATCTCTTATTTTGGAGTCTGGGACGACGATCAAGTTCCGGTGAGATTTACCGTCCTCACTTTCCCATTTGCGATATAGGCAACCATCTATTATAAGTAGACTGTCCCACTGGGCCCAATAGGATTTTAAAAGAGGGCTTTCGGAGGTAATTTCTTTGCGACTAGGTCGTTTGCCCGTTTCTATGGCCGAAATTACTTTGCCCAGAATGGGATCTCTTCGTTGTTCCGTCGACCAATCTTCACCCGACTCAAATTGCAATAGTCGGACATTAACGATATTCTCTTTATTCTCAGCCTTTGAGCAGTGCTTGCATTCTACTTTGCATGGCCGACGAGACAGGGCATCAGCATTACCGTGTTTTCCGCCTTTCTGTGCTCGATTCTGAAGTCATAACTCTGGAGCCTCTCGATCCAACGGGCTAGTTGACCTTCCGGATTCTTAAACTGCAGCAACCATTGGAGAGCAGCGTGGTCGGTCCTCAGCAGGAAATGCTGGCCATATAGGTATTTGTGGAAGTGTTTAACGCACTCAAGGACAGCAAGCAGCTCTCTCCTCGTCACACAGTAATTCCTCTCAGGTTTCGACAATGTCCGGCTGTAGTACCCGATGACTTTTTCCTGTCCGTCGATTTCCTGGGAAAGGACGCCACCGATGCCGCACGCACTTGCGTCTGTGTCCAGGACAAACTTGCCGCCAGGTATAGGGTATGCCAAAATGGGGGCTCTGCATAGCATGTCTTTGAGCTTTCTGAATGCCTCCTCCTGGTCGTTGTCCCACTGAAACCTCTGGCCTTTTTGCGTCAAACGGTGTAGACAGGCGGCGATGTTGGCAAAATTTTGGACAAATCGACGGTAGTATGTGCAGAGACCCAGAAAGCTTCGCAGCTCATGGAGATTTCGGGGCTGCGGCCAATCTCTGACGGCTTGAATTTTCTCCTTATCCGTCGATATGCCCTCCGGCGTCACGTGGTGCCCCAGGAACTTCACCTCTCGTTGGAAGAGACTGCACTTCTTTGGGTTCAGCTTGAGGCCTGAAGACGAAAGCTGCTGTAGAACATCCTTTAAGTTCTTGATGTGTTCGTCGAAGTTGCGTCCCATGACTATGATGTCATCCAGGTATATGAGGCACGACTTCCACTGCAGCCCTTTTAACACACGCTCCATCAGCCTTTCAAATGTAGCCGGGGCGTTGCAGAGTCCGAATGGCATGACATTGAACTGCCAGAGACCCCCATTTACGCCAAACGCTGTTTTCTCCTTATCTTTCTCGGCGATCTCTACTTGCCAGTACCCACTCTGCAGGTCGAGGGTGGAGAACCATGACGTCACGGCTAATGTGTCCAATGTGTCGTCGATTCTTGGGAGCGGATAGCTGTCTTTCTTGGTGACATCATTCAACTTTCTGTAGTCCACACAAAATCGGGTGCTTCCGTCTTTCTTCTTGACCAAGACCACTGGGGAGCACCATGGACTTGACGATGGTTCTATTACACCACTCTTTTCCATTTCACTTATCAGCTTCTGAACCTCGTCTCTTTTTGCCAGGGGAACACTTCTTGGAGGCTGTTTAATGGGTCTCGCGTCTGCTGTATTAATTTCATGCTTCACCACTGATGTTCTTCCTTGGTGCTCTTTTGTCAACGCAAAGGTAGAGGCATATTTCCATAATAGTTGCTTAGCCTTGTTCCTCTCGGAAGGTGATAATTGGTGTGTCCACTCTTTTATGTAGCCGTCGAGGTGCTTCTTCTCCATGGCAGCTGGCTTTTCGGTGCTAGTTTCCAAATTAACTACAGCTTCAGCTGGTGTGCATTGTCCAACATCGGAAAATTGGCAAATTTGCTCTTGCTTGTTTGACAGGTTCAAAACTCAAACAGGAATTAATCCGTCCTTGTTGCTTTTCACCAGGGCATTCGCTATTAGGATGTTACTGTTTCTGTTTTCTGCTGGTTCCACCACCCACAACTTCTCGGCTCCACAATCTCCATTCATTGGTACCCATATTATTGCTTCGGCACAGGGCGGTATTATCTCTGGATGGTCCGTGGTCAGACGTCTAATGGGTGTACTTTCATCGTAGCCCACGTTTAACGGAATTTCGACGTTAGACCAGGTCATCACACGTTCTTTCATATCCAGATTGATACCAAAGGCAATCATAAAATCTGCGCCTATTATCACTTCGTCTACGATATCGGCAACTATAAACTCGTAATTCTCCGATTTATTGGCAATAGTTAGTCTCAGGGTAATCTTGCCGTGTACTGCCGCGGGCTCCCCCGTTGCTGTGCGCAGTCTGACTCCATTAAGTTGCGTTATTTTTCCCTTTACCAGATCTGATCTTACGATGGACTTTGATGCGCCAGTATCTAACGTCAGAACTCGCTTATCACCATTGATGTACCCAGTTGTTGTTAGGTTGTGACTTTCCTGTTGTACTATTGCTATGGAGATTGTGGGGCCATCGTCGATGGGAGCCAGTTCATGCCCCGCTGGACTGGCTCGATTTAGTTTAACTGTGACTCATTGGTGGACTGTTGGGCCATTCTTCTACCATCTTTCGTTGGAGGTGGTGACGATGACCTGGATCGTTTGCGCTTAGCTCTGCATTCGCGCGCAATATGACCTGCTTTATCGCAGTTGTAGCATCTAACCCTGGGCTTAGTCATCCCAACTAACTTTGTCTCTTCTATTACCCGCCTCATGGCGTCTTCGATCGAGTTAACGAGAGATTTGGGTTCGCAACCTTCGGTCTCCAGTTGGCGAATCATGTGGGTCTGGGGCTTAACAACTATTCTTGCCGTCTCTTGGGCAAGGGCAAACGACACAGTTTCGGAAAATGATGCTTTTGGTGACGCATATGTTGCATACTTAATCTCAGGGTCACGTATGCCATTCACAAAGGTTTCGATTTTCATACGGTCCAGCAATGGGTGATCCTCTCCTGGATACGTCATTAGCACCAAACGTTCCACCTCAGCTGCAAAGTCTTGTAACGTCTCGTTTGCCCTCTGTACTCTTCCCCTTAATTCCATAAGGTAGATGTTTCGTTTATGTTCGCCACCGTACTTACGTTCCAGTGCAGCAATAACATCTTCATAGTTGTTTCTAGAAGCGACAGGAATACTCTGTATAACATCAGTAGCACTGCCCTTCAATGCCAGAAGTAGTGCAACCGCTTTGTCGCTGTCGTTCCACGAATTTCTAGAAGACGCTGTCTCGAACTGTAACTTGAAAACATTGAATGACGTAGAGCCGTCGAATACAGGAGGTTTGATTTTTAGTGTGTTATCAGGAACTCGCACCGGACCACCTTTGATTTCCAGTTCCGAAATTTTCTTCTCCAGATTTGTAACCCTATGGTCGTGGGACAGAAATTTCTCGTCAACCGACTGCACTTTCTTATCCAACTCTTTAATTTGGACCTCCACGGTTTCCACTCTCCTTCCAATAACTTCTGCAATGTACTCGAGTTTCTCGTTCGTTATTCTTGAATTTTCTTCGAACCTTCTGAAATTTTCCTCAAACATTTTGGCTAGCATTTCTCTGAAATCGTCACCCCTGGCAGCTACTGACGAGACTTCCCCACCGTTGGATTCGCCCATTTCCGATAAATCCACTTCATCCTTACTGTCAAACTCATATGTATCGATGTTCATACCACGGCGCTCGAACTCATCCAACAGACGTTTTTGTAGTTCAGCCTTGTTGCCAGTAGAGGACAATTCCAATTTATTAAGTTCCTTCTTCAAGTCTTCCACTCGTAGATCCTTAAACTTCATCGTAGTATTATCGTAATCCCACTTCTGACACCAATTGTTACGTTCTTGGATTTTACTTAATCCCGTGTAGACGTTGTTTTATTTCCCAATACAGCTCGTACCAAATAAAACGCGGGTTCTTTCGGATTACGATTATTACAATGATTTTATTCACACAACTTTACTTTGCACTTTACTCGACGGTTTCAATTCGCGATCTGATTCACAACTGACTAACTGCCTTTCCATTTCCCCTATTTATATGAGCCTCGCCTGTCGCTACAGAAGTTTCTAGACGATCTGGTAACGCCTAGATTATGAACAATCTACCAATGCAACGAACACATACAAACTTACATTGAGTGAACAATAACAACAACACATACAAACTTACATTGAGTGAACAATAACAACAACACATACACAGGCGAGGGGGTAACAAAGAAAGAGGAATTAAGCGATCATCAATGATGACGTTTAACAAGAATTGTACGTCAGCAACAAAATAGAAAATGAAAGAGGAAATGGAAGGATGTAGAAAAATCTATACAGTAGTTGTTGTTGTGAAGTTATTCAAATAAACTGCGTAGTAGAAATTTACGTTACAATTCAAATTCTTAAATTAACGGAATTCATCTAAATTAACTTAAATCTAAAGTTATATTCGTAACAGTATTATTTATTCATAATAATACACACACATACACAAAATGAGTGTATGTTTTGACAGGATAAGGGCACCAAAAGAAAAGATTGTGTTGTTCTACTCCTATAATTCTGCCATGGATTTGTTGACGAGCTCGAAAACATATGTACGTGTTTTATTAATTTGTACGTTGACAACACACAACCAAAGACATATGTTTTTAGCTGCTCATTTTGCTTAAACGAAAACAGCAGCAGAGCTTTTGCTTATTTTGTGTGCTGAATTTTTAGAATCATTAAATATACCAAAAAGGCATATTGTACATACAGTGGACATTACTTGTTAACAACAATTGCAACAAATTTACACAACACAAAAATATTAAAATTGTACAACGAAATTATTAAGTTGTAAAACTTACGTGCTAAAACTTACAAACGACTGAATCAGAAAATGCATTAATTTAAAACTGGAATTCTACAAAAATGAAACAAAATCTAATGAAATAAAACCTAGAACATAGTGAATTAAAATTGAGGAAAATCATCTAAACTAAATAAAACTACTAGCTAAATTGCACTATCCCAAAACCTATAATAAAAGACTGAACTAAAAATTAAACGAAAAATATTTTTATTAAATTATAAATGGGATCAAAGGTAAAAAAGGGATTAAAAGAAAAAAGACTACAAACAGGTGACACTATAATCTTTTCAAAGTACTACAATATGTGTTATCTTTCTTGTATTCAGCGGCATGTGTCCTTGAACCCAGACAAGTCAATTATGTTCAGTACATTCTCTTTAGTTTTTCTAAATTGTATGCTGTTTTGTTTAGTCGGTCTTCGGTCTGGGCTTGCTATTTCCTTCTCTGGGTATGTCCAACACCGACAACGCGAACCAAGGTTTTCTAAATTTGATCCTCCTTTAAGTAGCCGGCCTTCGACCGGGCTTGTAATATCCTCAATCAACGTTTTTTTTTTTTTTACAATCCCTCGGCAGCGGGTTCTACGACACCGGATTGACCCGAAACAACACTTCAGATTCGGCCAGCGGCTGCCAACCCAGTCTATACATGTTTGTGTTTGTTTATTTTTCTGCTTTGGGAGCAGCACATCCCGGAACGCTTGTTCCGGATTCTTTTGGTCCGTGCCGGGATTGCGGAAACCCCGGGCCATGTTTCCATACGCTTTGATAAAACATCATCCACCACAGATCGGTTTCTGTACGATGTAATGTATACGGAAGATGGGTACATTTTAGGAATTGTTCCGGTTTAACTCGGTTGCGGGACTATAGCGATAGGACTATGTTGCATCGAGCTGTGCCACCGTAGTTCCCAGTGAGTCCACGACCTCATCAAATGCCGAGCCGTCGTCGGAATACAGAACTCCCCCGCAGTCTCCACAACAGCAAACTTTAATGCAGCACCTAACGCCACATGTTGCTGTTCCAATTCCGGACAGTGCATCATTCTTGCAATTCAATTGCAACGGACTCCGAGGTAAAATTGATGAGATAGTGGATTTTATGAATCGGAGGAATATTGAGATCGCAGCGGTGCAGGAAACCAAGCCCAATGAAAATTGTAGCTTACAACGTTGCAATGGTTACAACGTATTGAGGAAAGATCGCACCAGAAGTGTGGGTGTGGGAATAGCGTTCCTGTTACACCATTCTGTTCTATACAGACCTATCTCGCTCAAGCTAGTCTCTAGTGACCCATACATGGAATGCATGGGGGTAGCAACCAAGTGCGGAACTGCCGAGGTAGAGGTGCTTAATGTGTATATCTCGCCGATTAATAGCTGTGAACTGCGTTATTTGCCTGATATTAGCCCATTGTTGGTAGGCAATAACCGCCTGATACTAGGGGATTTTAATGCCCACCATGAGTTGTGGCATTCCGTCCTAGGTAATGACCAGAGGGGATCAGCGTTGGCAGAGCAGATTGACTGCTCGACATTTTGCACGGTTTACCTACCTTCGCTTCAGAGAACTGCCAAATCCTTCTGATGTTCGGGTAGCTGAATGGATTTTCCGGGACATCATCAAAGCTGCAGCCTCTCGCTGTACACCTGCTGCTCGAATACCCGAAATAAGACCAAATTTCCCAGCAGAGGCAGTGGGATTAGCGAATGAGCAAGATGAGCTCTGACGTACCAACCCTACTGATCCCAGAGTCAGTGAACTGAACGGAAAAAGTGGCTACACCATCTGAAGTTTTACAACATTGGAACCGATGTGAGTAAGCTGTGGGTAACGGTTAAGTCACACTCGAACCCTGGGAAAAAGGATGATAGGACAGCAGTCACTTTTAACGTCGTAACGATGACTGATCCGAAGAGGTGTGCGGGGTATTTTAACCGAAAATTTGTCGAGCACCCGAGAGCGATAGGGCGAAGCGAAGAGTATTACGTCGCATCAGATCTCTTCCCGCCGAGGAGGAACCACCAAAAGTACCACAAAAGCATTATACTCTATTTCGACACATATTAGTAGAGAACTCAACCAGAACAAGCCGTGTAGCAGAACAGTGTTGGTAGCCCTTGACCTATTAAAGGCATTTGATACGGTCAATCATGCCGTACTGTTTGAGGACGTGCTCCTACCCTCCGGCTTTGAAACGTTGGATAATCAACTATATGTGTGGACGCCAGTCGTACGTGGGATTTTGGAACAAGAAGTCTAAAGCCCGTAGAGTGAAACAGGGAGTTCCCCAAGGGGAGGTGATATCTCCGAAACTGTTTAACCTTTACCTTTTCGGAAGTCCTCGCCCTTCAGACGGCATGGTGATCGTAACGTATGCCCTGTGGTCGATGACACATGTGAAAGGTTGAACCCCTACCTCGCGGAGCATGCCGCATACTTCCACGTGAGGAATATATGAATATCTGCCACGACAACAACGGCCACACTCTTTACCACATGGTCTGCGGAGATGAGAACACGGCTGAATGTGCAGGTCGAAGGGAATTTAATACCGACCACGGGTCACATTCGACAGCATGTTCAAGTCGTCCGCACAAGCCACAGCTATCTGCGAAAAGATGAAAAGTAGGAACAAGGTCCTCAAGGCGCTAGCTGGCAGCACTTGGGGTGCGGACAAAGAAACCTTGTTGACCTCTTATAATGCGATAGGTCGGTCTGTGGTCAGCTATGCGACTACAGTGTGGTCTAGTGCTACGCTGTGGAAGCACATCCAGACCTGCCGTAACGCTACCCTGAGAACTGCGACAGGGTGCCTTCTCATGACACCACTGGACCATCTATATGAGGAGGAGAAAGTACATAATCATATGCTTTCGTTGCAGAACCTGCTTGTATGTTACCGCGAGATTCATCCCAACCATTATAGGCGTGTCAAGAAGGACATACATGATCTAGAGAGGGAGGTTCAACGCAACAAGGGAGAACCTCTAGATCAAGAAGCGCATCAGGTGAAAAGCCTAAACAATGTTAGCTGGCAACTATAGTCAATCTACAAATTTGGCATATTTTTAAGAACCTAATATAAGTTGTAAATGCTATATTAATATAATATAAGTTGTAGCAAAACAAATTAAAAAGCAGTAAGTTCGGCCGGGCCGAACTTTTAATACCCTCCACCATTTGCAACGAATTTGGAAATTTTCAAAAAATAAAATCCTTAAAAAATTCTGTTAAAATTTTAAAAATACCGAATATAGCCGTTATTTTGGGGTCTATACGACGTGGACATACATAGGCATATATATATATGGGACTAGCGAATGAGCGTGATGGGCACCGACGTACCAACCCTACTGATCCCAGAGTCAGTGAACTGACAGTGGAAAACAACAAGTGTTTTCCAACAACAGTGGCTTGACCACCTAAAGTGTTGCAAAATTGGAACCGATTTGAGTAAACTGTGGGTAACGGTTAAGTCACTCACGAAAACTGGGAAAAAAGATGAGAAGACAGCAGTCACATTTAACGACGTAATGGTGACTGATCCGAAGAGGTGCGCTGGCCATTTTAGCCGCTAATTTGTCGATCACCCCGTGAGTGATATGGCGAGGCGAAGAGTAGTAAGTCGTATAAGAGCTCTCACTACCAAGGATGTACCTCCACAATTTACGATGGGTGATGTTGCGAATGTGGTCCGAAACGCTTAGTCATCTAAAGCTTTGGACCCGGACGGAACATCATTAGTAATGTTGAAGCAACTGGATACACCGGGAGTTGAGTATCTAACCAAAGTCCTTAACTCATTGTTAGCTACCCACATTGTTCCCGAAGCTGGAAAATGGGTAGGGTGGTCCCGCTACTGAAGACAGGCACTACATAGTGCCACAACAGCATTGCACGCCATATACACACATATCAGTCGAGGACTCAACCAGAAGAGGCCGTGCCATGAACAGTAGTGGTGGCTCTAGATCTATCAAAGGCCTTTGATACGGTTAACCATTGTACGCTGTATACTACCCCCCGGCCATGTGTGATTCGTTGGATAGTAAACTATATGTGTGGACGCCAGTCGTACGTGGAATGCCGGAACAAGAAGGCCAAGCCCCGTAGAGTGAAACAGGGAACTGTTTAACCTCAAGCTAGCTCTAGACGGCATCGAGATTGTATCATTTGCGGATGACTGTACGATGATGTCATCAGGTCCTGTAGTTGATGACATATGTGTCAGGGTGAACAGCTATCTCGCGGTGCTTGCCGCCTTCTTCCGTGCGAGGAATATAAAAATATCCGCCACTAAATCAACGGCCACCCTATATACCACATGGACTGCGGAGATGAGAACACAGCTGAATGTGCAGGTCGAAGGGTACATAATTCCGACCACTAACTACCCCAAAATCCTTGGGGTCACATTCCATAGCATGTTCAAGTCTTGCACACAAGCCACAGCTATCTGCGATAAACTGAAAAGTAGGAACAAGGTCCTCAAACCTTGTTCACCGCTTATGAAGCGATAGGTCGGTCTTTGGTTAGCTATGCGGCTCCAGTGTGGTTTGCCAATACGAGTGCAACGCAGTGGAAA